GAGGAATCCTAGGAAGAAGAGGCCTAGGAAGAAGAGGCCTAGGAAGAAGAGGAAGCCTAGAGATAAGAGAAAGCCTAGGAAGAGGAGGCCTAGGAAGAAAAGGAAGCCTAGGAAGAAGAGGCCTAGGAAGAAGAAGAGGCCTAGGGAGAAGAAGAGGCCTAGGAAGAAGAGGAGGCCTAGGGAGAAGAGGAGGTCTAAAGAGAAGAGAAGGCCTAGAAAGAGAAGGCCTAAAAAGAAGAAGAGGCCTAAGGAGAAGAGGAAGCCTAGGGAGAAGAGGAAGTATAGAAAGAGAAGGAAGCCTAAGGAGAAGAGGAGGCCTAGGGAGAAGAGGCCTAGGAAGAAGAGGCCTAGGAAGAAGAAAAGGCCTAAAGAGAAGAGAAGGCCTAGGAAGAAGAAGCCTAGGAAGAAGAGACCTAAGGAGAAGAGGAAGCCTAAGGAGAAGAGGCCTAGAAAGAAGAAGCCTAGGAAGAAAAGGCCTAAGGAGAAGAGGAATCCTAGGAAGAAGAGGCCTAGGAAGAAGAGGCCTAGGAAGAAGAGATAGAGAGAAGAGACGAAAAAGACAAGGGAGACGAGAGACGAGAGACGAGAGACGAGAGATAGAAGAGACTTAGGGTTAGACTTAGGGTTATAAAAGATAAGATAAAAGGAATAACGAAACTTTCTAACGAGACTTTATAATATAATTTTATAATAAGACTTCGTAATAAGAGGAACGAGAAGAAGAATAATAAGAGGAATAAGAAGAGAAACGAGAAGAGGAATAAGAAGATATTCTACGGGCCTATCTAGTAGTAGTACGGAATTAGCCAATTTTCTATATATATTATATATATTATATATATATTTGTATTCTATCTCTCTCTATCTCTTCTTCCTAGGCCTCTTCTCTCTAGGCCTTCTCTTTTCTCTAGACCTCCTCTCCCTAGGCCTCCTCTTCTTCCTAGGCCTCCTTTTCTTAGGCCTCCTCTTCCTAGGCCTTCTCTTCTCTCTAGGCCTTCTCTTCTCCCTAGGCTTCCTCTTCTTCCTAGGCCTCCTCTTCCTAGGCCTCCTCTTCTTCCTAGGCCTCCTCTTCCTAGGCCTCCTCTTCCTAGGCCTTCTCTTCTCTCTAGGCCTTCTCTTTTCTCTAGGCCTCCTCTTCTCCTTAGGCTCTCTCTTCTCCCTAGGCCTCTTCTTCCTAGGCTTCTTCTTCCTAGGCCTCCTCTTCTCTCTAGGCTTCCTCTTCTTCGTAGGCCTCCTCTTCTTTCTAGGCCTCCTCTTCCTAGGCCTTCTCTTTCTTCCTAGGCCTCCTCTTTCTAGGCCTCCTCTTCCTAGGCCTTCTCTTTCTTTCTAGGTATTCTCTTCTCTCTAGGCCTCCTCTTCTCTCTAGGCCTCCTCTTCTTTCTAGGCCTCTTCTTTCTAGGCTTCCTTTTCTTCCTAGGCCTCCTCTTCCTAGGCCTCCTCTTCCTAGGCCTCCTCTTCTTTCTAGGCCTCTTCTCCCTAGGCCTCCTCTTCCTAGGCCTTCTCTTTCTTCCTAGGCCTCCTCTTTCTAAGCCTCCTCTTCCTAGGCCTTCTCTTTCTTCCTAGGCCTCCTCCTCTTCCTAGGCCTCTTCTCCCTAGGCCTTCTCTTCTCTCTAGGCCTTCTCTTCTCCCTAGGCCTCCTCTTCTCTCTAGGCTTTCTCTTCTTTCTAAGCTTTCTCTTCTTCTTATCTTTCTTTTCTAAACTGTAGGTAAGGTAGCGACAGATACGGCGATAACGGCGAGGTAGGTAGCGAGCGTATAGCGAGTATATATAGTAGTATATAGTAGGTAGAAAGGTAGAAGTAGTAGGAAGTTAAAGCTAAACAAAGCCGGGGGTGAAGTGTAGCGGCTGGCCACTTTGGGCTTCCGTCCTTTGAGCGGAAGGGACGCGGGGCGGGGCGGGGCGGGAAGGCACGAGGTGAATTGTTCACCACCTTAAACAACAAGCATACTACTGTACATAAGGTAAACCTTGCATATACAGGACATCTTATTCTTAGGTATGCAGATTGCAAGGCCATCAAACCTATATAAAACCATCTACGAGTACGACACTATTCGTCCGTCCATGCGACTCGTAAAGGAGAGTTCTCACCACCTCCAGTCAGTACAGCATGCATACATACATATACATCGATTCTTTACCTCATTTCTACGCACTCATCGACTTGGGCTGGCTCCAAACGGAAAGTTGTTGGTGTTTACATCGGTGGCTGGAATTCCGACTTTCTGGAACAGTAGCAAAACTAGCCGCCAGCGATAGTATTAGTTCTATATGAGAAAGTTCTCGATCTTTTTTTAGTGATAGTCAGTTGCAGCATGACCCCGCTACAGATCATCAACTCGTCCAGCCCTCCATTTCCTTTTTCATGACCTTCTTCTCCTTGGGTTTCATGCGCAACCTCCTCCTCCACTTCGCCTTACTTTTCCTCATGCTACGTTTCGTTCTGGACCAAGGATAATTCATCGGGGACTCTCCGCCCGTGAAGATAGCCACGTCGTACAAGGCGGCTCCAATGAACGCGCCACAAATCGTTGCTACACCCGGTCCATAGATCCAGTAAGGGTTGGTAAAGAGTTCAGATCCATAACCCAGCGAGAACATGGCCAGTCGGGGCGCGAAATCTCGAGCAAAATTCATGGCGAGGCCGGTATTGTAGACGAAGCTCAGATTGAGCCCGTAAATCACCAGTCCGATGATGAGGGAGTTCATACCGGCGCCAGGCGGAGCATTCTGGTCGTCTCCCAGCGCCAAGACCGTGCATGCGAGCAAAGCGGTTCCTACAAATTCGCTGAAAAAGGCAGTGGCGGCACCCACGAACGGGAAGCGCCGACTCGTGACGAAACCATTGAGTATGGCCGTCGACGAGTTGGTCTGAATGCTGAGGTATTCCTGGATCCCATCATAGTAGATTCCGTACGCCGCGTAACAGGCGAGAAAGGCTCCTAGAAATTGGCCCAGGAAGTAATGGGGCATCTTTCGCTTGGGGAAGCCGCGATAGAACCACAGTACAATGGTAATGGCAGGATTGAGATGAGCTCCGGAAATACCACCCGATATGTAAATGCCAATCATCGTCGCCATACACCAGGCCCAGGCAGTCGAATTGGGATTGCCGGCGTCATTGAGAGTCGTCTGTGTATCAGCGCAGAAACCAATGGTGAGCTGCACAAAAACGGCCAATAACTCTGCGAGAAATTCGCGGTATTGGGTTCTCACGACCGACCACCACGTGTGATTATTATGCACCTCGTCAAGGAGTGGACCATTATCGAATATGTGGATGGGGTCCATGTCCTGCCACAGCCCGGGATCATCGTCATAAGAAAGGGTTGCAAGCGATGCATCGTCGCCTTTCGTTTCCTCCTCGGAGCCCGTCTGAGGCGGCTCACTGTTCTCCGGTATTGCACCCAGTGGCGAGTGGGGTTCCTGTTCATGGAAGTGTGGCCCTTCTATGCTGGGTGACATGGGCTGCGGCTCCTGTGTGTTTCCATCGTCTCCAGACAAATCTCCTCCGCCTACTTCCGGTTTCTGCGTCGCGGTGCTGGATGCTCTGCCCCGCCCAAACCGAGAAGCTGTCGAAGACGCGCGCGTAACCCGAGGCTCGACCCTGGAGACGAAGGTCCCCCTCCTCGCCATGCCGGCGATGAGGTTGTTCTCCCTTTGCGCCCTTGAGTCCATGAGCTGAGCTGACACCTTCTTGTAGTTGAGGTTGAAGTCGATCCTACCTGCCTCCAAATCGTTTGGATCTGCATCAATGCCCACTTGCTGCGTCTGCTCTGCTGGTAGCTCGGGATTCTGCCTTGCTTCGAAAATCTCGCTCCTAGTGGGAACCATGCCCGGCCGGACCACTCGAGGCAACGGTTTTGCCAAACTCCATACCGGCTTGGCGTTGGCGGGCTGCTCGTATGCGGGATTGAGGTCTGCATAGCTCGGGTGCACATACGGCTCATACGCTTGCTGTATCACCGGAGCTTCCTGTGCACCTGCCAGTGTGAGACCTCTCGACCTTCCTGCGATGGTGCTGGCGCGGCCCTCGATGCCGCTCCTCCTGCTCATTGCTGTCTCGCGTCGCCGCAGTCCTGATAACCCATCCCTCTGCACCGAAGTCGTCTCGGACCGGCGGGGTGCTCGAAGCTCCTGAGCAGCGACAGTTGCTGCTCGATTCGGCTGTGCAAACTCTTCTCGTGATGTGCGTCCCCCCGAGTCATCTGCTGGCGTAGGTGATAGATGGCCTGCCTTGGGCCTTTGCACGGCCTCCGACTGCACCGCAAAGATTCAGCATGAGTTCTTCCGGTTAGTGGGCGAGTGTTCAATGGTCTTACTCTTGCTCGGGCTCTCCCCCCATTGCGGTCCTTGTCCCCCTCCATGGCGATACGAATGCGTGCGCCTGTCTCCTCGAATCTATCTGGTAGTGTGATCTGCTGCTGCAGTTGGATACAATATGCTCATCACTCCGGAACGCACCAGAATGAGGAACGAACGGTAGGAGATTTAAACGAAAGTGCAAGCGCAGAATTGATGCAAGAACGATGAATGAAGAGAAAACAGCACCTACTCTGAGCAGGTCTGGCCTGGCTAATAACACCTGATGGGTTGACCCCATTCACCTACTCCGGCCTCTCCTATGCAGTGGCGCCGAGAAGTGATGTTCCAGTAGTGTGACACGAGACCCACCGCTTGGGGTTATGAATAGAGAAGAGCGAGATTGAGTGCAGGCCTCGTGGATCACACAGGAGTGTCGTCCAGGCGTGATGATGCCTCCAGCAAAAGGGGCAATACGTCCAGCGTGCATGTCGCCAGAAGTTCGGGAGCCAGCATGTGTGGACTAGACAAGGCGGCTACGACGTCAGCTGTAAATAGCCGGTTCCATGCTGATGTTGTTGAGGGATGTTGTGAGGGATGTCTCGAGGGGAGTGTGTCAACAGGCGACACGGGCTTCGTTTTCAACGGCATATTCGCAATGCAGTCTGTACCTAAGGTACAGTATTATTATTGTCGATGTCGTGAGCAGAGTCAGCGTAAGCGAATATTGCCAGGGCGGCCGTGCGTGCGTCGGTGTCGGCGTCTGGGCGGACAAGGCCGGATGATGATTCTCGTGTCTGATGTTACAGCTGACGACGCGACGGGACGATGAGGTTCTGGTTGAGCGTGTCACCGTTTCTAGACGGAGGACCACGCCGCGCCGGCGAGGCTATGGGCAGCCCTTGGATTCGTCTAACCGCAGCCCTAGACGTAACACACCTCGACATCTCGTTATCGACGTAATATACTCCGCTGCCTGAGGCCAGCCTCTATATCGCTACTGCTGCCGCTGCTGCTATAGCCTGTCGCAAGTCTCGCCGTCGCGACTCCCGTCTCCTTTACGAATCTGCCTTTACCTCCTACCCCTTCAAAATACGATTATTAATCGCGAGCGTACGATACGTATACCTATTATCCTATGTATAAGATAATCGGCTTCTACGAGTAGCGAGGCAGATTCGTAGAGGAGAGTCGTAGTAGCCCGCGACATGGAGGCGGCGAACTTCGAAGTATTTTACGTCGATAACGAGAAGTGGACTTAGCGGAGCTGCGGAGGTAGGTATATTACGTACTGTTTGGGTGTATTATATCTAGGGCTGCGGTTAGACGAATCCAAGGGCTGCCCATAGCCCCGCCGACGCCGCGCCGAGACGCCGACAGAACCAGCGATCCCACACTGCCAAGACTCACGAAATCCCGCCTTTCCTATTTGGGCTTTTCTAGGGAACACTATTCTCTACAACAGAACGGTATAGGAATATAATGAAGACAATGGCATTATGGCACTGCTTCCCTTACCCAACCTCCGCATCCCCGGCCATCCCAACCAGCCTCTCTATCTCGATGGAAACCCCTTTGCTATACTCGACGAATCCGCAATACCATCACCCCCGGACACCAACGACAACAACAAGAAAATAGAAAACCTCACACCAGCAATCGCCATCGCCACCGTCCTCTACAAATGGCATCCCTCCGCCCTCTTCGCTCTTCTCGACCTCTCCGCTTGGTTCTCCTTCACATGGACTCTGACCCTCGCAGACGGCAAGAAAATCGAAATTGGCCGCATCCGGAATCAAATTTCCATGGGAACGCTCGATGAAGATGGTTTGTGGGAAATGATGGCGTCGTTTACGATGCAGCCAGGCGGAGCGGATCATTCCGTTGATGATGGTAGTAGTAGTGTTAGTAATGATGGTGATAATGATGGTGGTGGAGGAGTAGGAGGAGGAGGAGGCATCTGGCATCCCAACCCCTCGGAAACCATTTTTCCCAGTGACGACGACGACAATAAAACGAGCTCCCCTTCCACCCCCGAGGAAACTCTCCAACTCGCAACAACTTTCTTACAAGACTTGATCATGCAGCGAAGATGGCTGCTTCCACCTGCAGGGCAGCAAAAAGGATGCCTTCACGAATTTTTCATCGAATCTCGACATTTGGGGATGGATCCCTGGGGGGATGGGATGCGGATGAATCCGCATTGGTTGTATCACAGTTTGGATCGGGGGGTGTGTACAGTTTGTGGGGGCTCTTCTTCTCCTTCCACCTCTTCTTCTGCTGCTACTGCTGCGAACGATAATGATCCTAGTACTGCTGCTGCTGCTGCTAGTAGTAAACCCCCTTTACAAATCTGCGGTAGATGTGGAACCGCAGCATACTGTTCAGCCACGTGTCAACGGCATGATTGGCCTGTGCATAAAAGTGTTTGTGTGATGAGTAAGGAGGATCGTGGGAAAGCGCTGTATTATAGCCAGTTTGGAGGACTGGTGGGGTGGAGGGGAGGAGAAGAAGGAGAAAAAGGAGAAAAAGAAGAAGAAAAATGACGACAGTCGGGGGATTTAGCCTGCACATGATAGCATTCCCCCCGGCGCGGTGTAGGGTAGAGTAACTTGAGGAACGGAAAAAGAAAAAGTCATCATAAACAAAAAGAGCAAACGGTCTTCATTCATGTACACATATATATATCTTTCAACCGAAAATCTTCATTCGTTCACTCATTCACAATGCTCCTCACCCTCCTCACTCCTCTCCCTCCCCCCTCCACCTCCCCGACGGCTCCGTATGCCTCACCTTAACCTTCACCTTCCCCCCAACCCTCCCAAACGCCTTGAACCCCATAGGATGATGAAGAAAAGACATTCTCTTCTCCACCCCTCCACCTTCTTCCACCGCCGCATCAACAGAAGAAGAAGAAGAAGAAGAAGAAGAAGAAGAAGAAGAAGAAGTAAAACACTCCGTCCGATCCTGCGCAGTCCCACAAGTCGCGCCTCCACAATCCGTCTCACTCGCAGCAAGACATTCCAATCCAGCATCACAATCCGAATTTTGCACACATTCCCTTCCGCAGGCGCCATAATACGAAGACTACACCCCCCACCCATCCAAATAATTAGCATCGAAGAGATGATACGAAAAAAAAAGAAAAGAAAGAAAAGAAAAGAAAATACAAAACTTACGCAAAACCCCCCATTACCCGTCGTAAGAAAACATCCACAAACTCCCCCTGCAGCAGCATCCGGTCCCGCATTCGGGCCACATTGTCCTTCAAAAGCTTGACCGGGGCCAAGAGGGGTGCAAGAATTGATATTTGCGACGGTGGCGATGACGGTTGTCGTAGTCGTAGTCGTAGTGAGGACGACAGAGGTGAAAGCTGTCGTGATCACAGGAAAATTGACGGTGCTGGTGATGATGGGAGAGGCTGTGATTGTTATGGTGAGGGTTGTGGAGGGATAGGAGGTGCTAGAGAAGGAGGGGAGGATGGGGGGTTAGTGTTGGGTTACTCTCTCGGTTGTTGGAGGGGATGGATCTTTTTGACTTACGTGGTGGTTTGGGATGTAATAGATTGGGTGACTGTGCTTGTTGGACTGACGGTCGCTGTGGGAGTGGTGGTGATGGTTGTCACGGAAGGTTGGATCAGGCAAGTGCATACTGTGGCAATGTATGCTGCGGATTGGCTGGCTTGCAGGCTGCTGAGAATGGAAGATTGTCGATCGATTGATGAGGTTGTCGATGAGGCTGTCGATGAGGTTGTTGATGAGGTTGTTGATGAGGTTGTTGACGAGGTTGTCGATGATGTGGTTGTCGATGAGGTTGTCGATGAGATTGTCGATGTAGTGGTCGACGATGATGTCCTCGATGAGGTTGTCGACGAAGTTGTTAATGAGGTCGTCGATGTGGTTGTCGAAGACGATGTTCTAGATGAGGTTGTCGACGAATTCGTCGATGGAGTTGCTGATGGGGTCGTCGATGAAGTTCTCGATGAGGTTGTTAATGAGGTCGTCGATGTGGTTGTCGAAGACGATGTTCTAGATGAGGTTGTCGACGAAGTCGTCGATGGAGTTGCTGATGGGGTCGTCGATGAAGTTCTCGATGAGGTTGTGGATGGGGTCGTCGATGTGGTTGTCGATGATGATGTCCTTGATACGGTCGTCGATGAGGATGTCGTCGTCGATGTGGTGGTCGACGAGGTTTTCGATGAGGACGTCGACAATGATGTCGTCAACGAAGTCGTCGTCGACGAACTCCTCGACAAAGTCGTCGAACCCGGAAGGATGATAGGAAGAATAATCCTACCAGAACGAGTAACAACCTGTCTCTTCTTATTCGGATTGGACGCAGTAATAGTAGCAGAGATCGTAACAGTAGATGTCGTAGTCAAACCATTCGTGACGCTGCTCGTAACCGTGACAGTCGCTCTGGGCGTGATGCTGACTGTCGATGTGAACGTTCTCGTTGTGCCGGTGACGCTACAGAATTTCTCCATCAGTATAAAACAAAAAATATTCACACAGCTCTCAATCAACAGTGAGACGGAACTCACGTTACTGATGCTGTTTGGGCGACCACTTGAGTAGTCACTGTCGAGACGATGGTGCTGATGGTCGACGTGGGCACGGCAGCACCACATGTCTGGATAGTCACGTAGCTGGCAGAGCAGAGAGATGAGGCCGGGGCATAACCATTAAGACTGCTCGCAATACTAGCTTGTGCCCCAGGGGTGCATTGAACAGCCGGACATGATGCTGAAGATGTCGTGGTCTGCGCCCAGGCCACCGATGTCAAACTGAAAAACAGCGATAAATGTTGCGAAAAGCGCATGATGAAAGAGTATCTTGCGAAAGCGAAGGAAACAGTCTGTTTGGCATTCGACCTAAGAGCAGGCAACAAGGGGGTTCATGTAGGCTGCAACAACGAAAGATCGAAATCACAATTCTCATGCTCACGTCGCCAGATCGTGTCCAAAGTGGCGGAACTGCCGTGGCGCGGACGCGCGTGGAGGCGGGATGTAGCATCAATGTCTCCGAGAAGAAAAGCAGTACCACAATCTGAAGACGACGTTATCATGAATGGCTGCTATGAGAAAGTGTGAAAGGATTGGCCCAACCACAAAATGGAGGTGCTGTCAAGGGTGATCAGATTCCCCGATAGGCATCTCCAGTGACCTCGGAAGCATATTCCAACTGGTTACGATGTTGACAGGACGTTCGTGGCTAGTTGGAGTGACACAACTGGGGAATCTTCAGATCTACGTGGCTGAGACTGTGCCAGCCCCAGCGTTAGCGCGCCATGCATACAAATGTCCACGTGCGATCGTTTACAAAGATCAGGTGAAAGATGTTGGATCAAAATTAGAGGAAGGAAGATGCATCTCTTGGTAGCGAAAGCCGATTAGCCGTTTGGCTTCTATCCCGGTGCCGCGAGAAGGGACGTGTACCACAAGAGAAGAGCCAGCAGCGCAAGAATCCTGCCATTTTCGTAAGTAGTGCGCGAAACGCTTGCAAAAGTACGCTGGCTCTCTGGGGCTCGCAAGAAGGAGCACCAACGCGCTCTTGAAGGACTCGGTGCTGAGGCTGGGTGCCACTCCCCCCTCTCCCTCGTTCGTACAGTTACTAACTACTGCGAGTTTGTGAAAGCAGCTACACATTCGAGAAAGTGGCGCCTGAGCTTCTGGATAGGTCTCAGCTCTGCTGCACCGCATCGCTTGATATCGTCGTGGCGTTTGTGCCGTCCATTTCCAGTCTCTCTATTGTCTTGCGAACGCGGTTCGCCCTCGATCGCAGATACTGCATGTCTTCAGCAACTTCTTTGATGTCCATGTGAGTCTCCCACAATTCCTCATCACTGAGGTCCCGCACAGGGAAGTCAACATAGACTTCTTCGGCATTGAGCCTGGAATCAGCTGACATGAGCTTTTCAGCAATGCACTCCAGGCTATCCATAAAGCCCATGAGATTCGCAGACACCTTGTCGCGTAGCAGCACTGGAAGAGCGAGGTAGCGGGCGAACAATGCGCGATGGAAGTCATCGATATTGGAATATGTCAGGAAGACACGATTCAGGTCGCGTTGGACTTCGTCCTCCGTCAGTGTTGGTACAGTTGTGGAAAGGCCTTCTGTGGATCCCTTGACTCTCGCTGCTCGCGCTGTTGCGGGCCATGGTGTAGGTGTGAGTGGCTGAAGGTAATCTGGTTTTCTGGCTGTCGTCTTCGTGTTCCAGAAAGAGGCCAGGAGCCTAGATAACATGGCGACGGATATGCAGACTTGGAATCACCGTGCTGCTTTGGTCGTCCAAGGGTCAATGAACCTGTCTGGGAGGTGTATGCTTGCTTCTCGCAACTTCTTATGCAAACAAGCACAGAATGCAAGCATCCCAACGAGTATGGTGAATGTCTCAGCAGACTCTGCAGTGCATCATTCACCACAGTGACTACGTCCATTGTTTGCGTTGCTCCTCACCCAGTGTCCTCCCTATCGTGAACAAGGACACTGCCGGTCTCACTCGGGAAAGACGTGGCACTTGGAGTTTGCATGGTGTAGATTGACTCCTGAGTACCGCCATGGGGCGAGGGATTCTCCCGACTATCAGGACTGCGCCATAGGACAGATCCAAAGCTCTCCTGACTTGGAGCGCTTTCCATCAGGTATGGTGAAGCGAAAGCAGGCGTAATATCTTCTCGGGCAGTAACGGAGCCTCGAAGACTCGACTGCGGTGACCAAGTGCGAGCTGATGAGACAGCTGCAGAATCGTCTCCTGCTTGTTCCGTCAAAGGTAGCACCGGTACATCCAGTACAGCGGCATCATCGTTCGTTTGAGCCCGTATTTCGTGAACGATATCCGGGTTCAGGGTAGTCATACCAGCAAGAAGTTGTGCAAAAGTGGTCATGAGTTTGTCGAATCCATTCACGGACACAGGTAGAAAGCCGAAACGAGCTTTCTCATACTGGGATACAAAGTTTTGGCCCAGACTTGGTGGTTGTACGAGTCCCAGATAGCCCAATTGCGTCAGGTAGTCACGTAAAGCCATATTCGGGGGTCTAGTCAAGAGGCCTACTACAGCGGGATCGGCAGCACGGGGCGCACCTTGCACCGGTGTCATGGTGGGATCGGGAGGCGCAAGAGAAACAGCGCGAGCCTCGATCAGATTGGGAAGCTCTGCGATCACGTCTGCGAACTGCACATCAGGATTTCGGTTGTCGTTTCGGTGACTGGGAGACGACCATCCAGGGTGCTGTATGTCGCCCCACGGCGGATGGGCTGGATCGATTTGTATCTCGGAGCCGACCATGCAATCATTGACGTCAAAACTCTCCGTTTCCATTGGCAAAATGCCCTCCTGACGGGCCAGCAAGATCTCTCCGTACAAGTCGCGCGGTCTGCTCTCCCAGGCCACAATGGCGCTCCGATCCAGCTGCTTGACAATCATCTTCCGTACCGCCTTACCCACCTCTCCTTCCTCGATGGGCACATAGGATTTGCCCACGTCCGACAACACTCTCTTGTTGGTGTACAGCCTGCTGCTGTAGAGGCAGACGGCGATGATTGCAGTGAGGATAATGACGCTGCCGATCATAAAGGTATACTGGAAGGCGTTCTGGGTCAAGGAGGAGTAGATCATCGTAACGGGACTGATGGCGAGGAAGACCAAGGTGAGCAGGTAGAGGGTGGTGTAGGTCAAGCTGTAGAAGACGCGGAAGATGGGAATGCGGAAGGGCAGTCGGCGCCGACGGGCTCCCGTGGTGCGTGCCATGACGGTCGTTGGTGAGATGAGGCGCAGCTCGAGGGCTGCTGGTGATGGTGGTAATCACATACTGGGGAGTCGATGTTGTTAACTCGTGGTGGTTGTTGTTATTGTTATGATTTGTGTGGGGGAGTATGTCGGGTACGATTGACGTAGAACTAGCCCGTCTCGGATGCCTGGTCGGCCCGGGGAAGGGGGCCGGGGGAAGTGGCGAGCCACTATGGGAAGAATTATGTGTGGGACGATAGAACTAGTATCGGTACTCGCTTAGCACCTCAGTCACTACTTGACCGTCTGATACAACATCTTCGTATACAATATCTTCCTCCAGTCAGCGATAGTATAATCACTCTGGGCCGATATCCTTTATCATTCCCGGATTTCACTCTCGAAATATTCACTCACCATCAAGATGCAGTCATGATCCAGGCTTGTTCTAGCGCCGTCGGGAAGCGTCCCGTCTTTCACATGCCAGTCAGACAATACTAAGCAAACGCAACGCTGCATGTGAAGGCATCTTTGTCCGCCAATTCCATACCAGAGCAGTCCTCATACCTAATTGATGCGCTCCTGACTCGACGACGACAACGATAATAACGGGTGGAAATGGTCGAGCTACGCGAAACAGATGCCGAGGACACGCTCGACGAAGCACTCAAAGATGACGATCGTATCGAAGAACTTCCTTCCGACGACAATGACTCCAACTATGAAGACGTCGACTCCGACGGCATCAACGGCGTCCCTTTCCCCGGAAAACCCTTTCTCTATCCCAAACCAGCAAACTTGCCGCCGTGGTATCTGCACCGCGACATTTTCAATCTGTTCCCCGATGACCTGAAGACGACGACGTCTGAAGCCCAAGAAAAGACAGAGAAAGAATGTCTCCCACTCTTGACAGGCGATCAAGCTCTGGGACTCCCTCTCAATAGTCACGGGATCCCTCACCTCAACCGTGTCAAGCATGCTGCGTTCTTGGAGGACTGGATCGACGAGCTCCCCGGACCGTATGTCGCCATGGACGCCTCTCGTCCGTGGGTGTTTTACTGGGTCATGGCCGGTCTGTCATTCATGGACAACGATGTCACGCAGTACAAGCAACGATTGATGGAGACTGTCATGCCGCTGCAGAACCCCTCGGGAGGCTTCGGCGGTGGACATGGACAATCCAGTCACTGTGCCGCTACATATGCCACTCTCTTGGCACTCACAGCGGTCGGCGGTCTGGAAGTAGTCGATCGCAAAGCCATGTGGCACTTTCTCGGCCAAGTCAAAGAAGCAGACGGAGGTTTCCGCATGGCGATTGGTGGAGAAGAAGACGTTCGAGGAGCATACTGCGCTATGACCGCCATCACTCTTCTCAACCTTCCTCTCGAACTTCCTCCTGATGCACCGGCTCGTGCCGCTGGCTTGACTTCCTTCCTCGACGGACTCGGAGACTGGATCGGAAAATGCCAAAGCTACGAAGGGGGCATTGCGGGCGCACCTACCAACGAAGCTCACGGTGCTTATGCGTTCTGTGCACTGGCTTGTCTGAGCATCATCGACGCTCCTTACATCAGCATTCCCAAATACCTGAATGTCGAAGCGCTGCTGACCTGGCTCACCAGCACGCAAACTTCACCCGAAGGAGGTTTCGCAGGACGAACCAACAAGCTCGTCGACGCCTGCTACAGCCACTGGGTCGGCGGATGCTGGGCACTCATCCAAGCAGCCATTGCCGGAAGTACCAACAACAATAACCACACCAGTACCAAACAAATCCCTCTATGGAATCGTGTCGGCCTGATTCGATATTTGCTATGCTGTGGACAACAGCCCGGAAAACGAGGCGGCATGCGAGACAAGCCTTCGACCCGACCAGATGCATATCACACGTGCTACTCTCTCGCGGGATTGAGTGCTGCGATGAATGACTTTTGCTATAATGATGTGCAACACGGTTCTACGACGGATGAGAGTGGGAGATTGACTGCTGCGTTTCAGTGGACAGCTGCAGCACCTACTGCCGAAGAGAGAAAGGCTTTGGTGATTGATGTGGAGGATTTGGTGGTGCCTGTGCATCCCGTGTTTGTGCTACCGATGGGCGTGGTGGAGCAGGCGAAGATGCAATTTCACAAAGGTGGATTTTGAGAGAATTGTGCAGGAAGTTTTGAGCTTGGACAAAGAGTCTAGGAGAGGCGACTGTAGCTAGACATACTGTACTGTGTGTGGATTTGTTCAATACCTACTCATTGAATCCCACAAAAGTACATGTAGTCATAACCAGAAGTCTCCCATCCATAACGCCCGAATCATTCCTTTCCCACTACAACTTCCTCTATCTTCTCCAAAAAGACCTCTGCCTACCTCACCTCACCTCACCTCACCCCAACCTCTGCAACCCCCCCAACCTCCTAACCGCCCAAGCCCCCGCGACCGCAACCGTACTCACCACCCCCATAACCATCAACATGCGATCCGACACAACAGTTTCCTCCCTCACCCTCCCCACATACACAATCTCATCATTTTTCTTTCCCTCTCTCCTCGCAACTTTTTTCTTCTTATCATCCCCATCCCCCTCCCCTTTTTCAAACCCCCATTCCTCCACCTCAAACTCCCCCAAATCCACCTTCTCCACCAATTTCTGATACTCCACCACCGATCTCGAAAAATTATTCACAATCACGCCTTGATCATTTTTATACCAACTCTCCACCTTCTCATCCCAAAACACCGAATTCCTCAACTCTTTCTGAATCATCTCATAATACCGCTCCGTAACATCTTCTCTCGGTCTCAAAGTCGTAACCACCCCCCCTTGTCTTTTCGCGTCAAGAATCACGCGAATCAAAGCATTTATATATCGCGATTGAGCTTCAATCATCAAAATGATGGAATTGTGGCCGAGATTGGTGTTGGGGCCGTAGAGCATGGCGAAGTTGGGGAGAGAGGGGACGGTGATTCCGTAGAGGGCTTGAGGGCCTGCCGAGGAGGTGGAGGACCAGGTTGAGGAGAGGGGGATGCCTGAGGGGCCTGTGAGGGTGAGGGGGTGGAGGAAGGAGGTTGTGAGGAAGCCGGTGGCGCAGATGAGGAGGTCGAATCCGTCGTCGTCGTCGGAAGAAGAGGAGGAGGAGGAGGAGGGAAGAGAATCGACGATTTTAGTTTCACTCCCTTCTTCTTCTTCATCACGGACTAAAATCCTCCTCCCCTCAATCCTTTCAATCCCCCTCGTCTCCAAAAAAACATTCTCCCTCGCCAACGTGGGAAAATAATCATCTGAAATAATCAACCTCTTCGCCCCCAATCCGTATTTCGGCGTCAATTTCTCCCACAAATCCTTTCTGTCCGGTAAATTCTCTCGCAACTTCTCCCGATGCGCTGCCATGTACGCCTCCGCCATTTCCGGATTCGAATAATTAATAAACTGAAATTGTTCCTCTCGAAAATCCATCTGAGTCGCTCGTTTACGAGCCAACACTCCAGGGATATATTTGTATATATTCCGCCACAAGGGAGATACGGGTCCATCACCTCGCGGCACAACCCAATTCGGGGTTCGTTGGAATAGCGTGACAGATTTCGCTCCTCCAGCGACGAGTTCGGGCAAGATTTGAACTGCTGTACAACCATTTCCGATCAAAGCGATTTTTTTATCTCGAAAATTATACGACCAATCCCAACGAGCCGAATGCATTTTTTTGCCCGTAAATTCTTCAATTCCAGGAATTGATGCTGCAGAAGGATATTTTGGAATATTCAATTGTCCAACTGCACTGACGAGAAAATCTGCTTGAAGCGTATATGAAGCGTGGAATTCGGCTTCTTTGCTGCCTGCGGCCGTGGAGACGTGGACGAGCCATTTTTTGGTTTCCGTGTCCCAGGTGGCGCCTGTGACGGAGGAGTTGAAGCGGAAGTGAGGATAGAGTTTGTATTCCTGAGCAACGTCGGTGAGGTAGGCGAGGATTTCTTCTTGCCCGGGGTATTCGCGTGTCCAGTTGGGGTTTTGTGCGAAACTGAGGGAGTAGAGGGCGGACCAGACGTCGCAGCAGCAGCCGGGGTATTTGTTGTCTAGCCTGGATGATGAAGAGGAATGTCAGCTGGTTTTGGTAGATCAAGTAGAGAAGGTATTGAAGAGGTATATTTGAATAATACATACCAAGTCCCCCCCACGCCCGCACTCTTCTCCAAAATAACAAAATCTCTACAATTGTTCCTCTTGAGTAAATCAATTGCGACGCAAATTCCAGAAATTCCTCCTCCGATAATCACTACTGTCGCTTCTCCATGCCGCCGGCGGTGCTGGTCTTCTTCTCCTGCCATTGTGTATATCCCTCTCGTCGGTCGCTTGTGAGTATGTGAAAAGGTACCCGATGGTTTCGACAAGTAGGTAGGGCAGTACCAGATATATCTACCGAAAAAGAAAATCTCCGGTAGATGATGTATTACATACGAAAAGGAGGAGGAGGAGGAGGAGGAGGACTTCGGTAGAGGAGCAGCAGCAGCAAGAAAAAAAGAGGGGTGTCTCACTATCAACTCTACAGTTACCCTCGGGATCTACATTCTACAGTCCCTAGCTGGTATCATGCATTATCGTCCTATCATTCTACCTCATGCATCTAGGAGGTATAGAGGGGGGGGGTGAATACAGTCTACTAGAAACCTCCAAACTGTACGCTGTTAATAAGAGGTAGCTTGGCTTGCATGAGGATTACGTAGATGGGTAAGGGAAGGGATATGATATCTCGCAAGGGTAAGTTCGTTGTCTTCGGCAAGTGAAGTTGGAGAAATATGTGGAGAAGAAAGAGGTTGAAACTTGAAAGTTCATGTAAGTGAAGGGCGGGGAAGTTGCACGTGAGGGAGTTCCGTAAGGTCAGAACTTAGCATAAGGCTGCATAAAAAGAATGCATAAAGATTGTGCATAACTTCCCTTCCTACCTAGGTACCTACAAATAGGTATCAAAACCCCTGCCCCCGATGCCATTTCTCCTCCCAACCCTCAAAAAACGGCGTTTCCTCCAACGTCTGCACCTCCCACTCCCCCTCCATCAACCCCCTTCGAATCTGCTCTCGTTCACACTCCTCCAAATACGGAATCACCACATGTTCCGTATGCCACGTATCCTTATACTCCATCAAATTCTTCTTCCCCTCCCTCAACACCTTCAACACCAACGAAGGAACCCTCGGCTCATCCTTAAATTCGGCAACAGGTGTAAAAATCCCTTTGAAATTAAAAACTATCGCGCCAGAAAGTGGTAAACGACGTAAAGTTTGCCAGTCGACGCGGAGATGGATATCAGAGATGGTATGTGAGGGATTTTGGGCGAGGCGGAGTTTACTATGAGGGTCTCCCGGAGGCATATATAACGGTTTGTGGATTTCCAAACCCCAGGAGCCGCGTTGGATGGGTTTTTCCGTGGGCGTTTTGGAAAAGTATCGATCCATGGAGAATTGCATTTTGAGCTGGTAGTCGGGTACGGGAGAGTGGATGGCTGCTAAAGGTAAACCCATTTTGTTGCCTAATGTCCACCCGAGACTGGACATGACCATGCCGGCGCGGAGCGTGTAGAGTCCTGTTTCGGGATCGCGAAGCATAAGGGCAAAGTCTTCGGGGATATTGTGCAAGAGTACTTCCATTGGTGGTGTGGATTTGAGATTTGTTTGCGTATGCAAAATTCCATTCCACAAGACCGAGCGATGGGTGTCGACGCGAAAATACTGCGGATATCGCGCACAGAGGAATTGCACGCACATTTCCATGAGCTCTTTGCACGCGATTTCCGATCCGGGGAGAGTCTGCAGTACCATGGCGCCGTGCTTCTCAAAGAGCTGCTCTCGTGCGCGGATCGTGTCCACGTACTCTCGGTGTAACTCGAGCCACCAGTCCGGTTCCATTTTCGTGAGAGACATGGTCTGGTGGTAGGCCCACCGAAAGGGTCGATAGGGTCGAGGCAGTGCTGTGTTCACGTCGAATTCGAGGTAGGCGGCGGGAAGAGGGACGCCGCTGAGCGTGGCATAGTCGGGAAAGTCGCCCAGTCGCTGGATTTCTTCGAGTGTGAAGCCCGTTGCTGTGATGTGCTGAAGATGCTGTGTGGGATCTGGCGTTTCCTTGTCTGGCAGTAACTTGTTGTAGTTGGGTGGGCGGAGCTGGGTGTGTGGCTTGTCCAGGAGGAGGAGCTCTTCCAAGACATGTCTGCGACTGGGAGGGAATGCGGTCGTGTAGTCTGTTGTCCCTTGACATGGCTGCTGCTTCTCATCGGGGAGCCTTTGCTTTTCTTCCGCCGACAACTGTCTTGGAGGCGTACTAGCTGTAGATGTCCTGTGGTGCTGCACACCCAATCTGTCCAGCAGCTCGTCTCGCACATTGCCATTCGCGAAGGTGTACGAGAGGTAGCCGAGTATGACTAATGATGGTATCCCCAGCACCAAGAACCACATGTTGGCGAGTTTTTAAGGAGGTATACTGATGTTGATGCACTCTTTCGCAAAACCTCTCGTAGAAGCTGAGCTTGCACAACAGTCCCTATACCGGGGTTATGGCTCAGAGTACAAGGCTAGGTAGGTATGACTTCAAGATGAGTAGGTAGTTGGGCGTGCATATGATTTCCATAATCAGCAACGGTCGAAATCCATCCACTTCCCCCGTAGTAGCTGTATGTCCCACCCATATACAGGTACCTTATACCTGATATGCATGATACAGCAACAGCTCCGCAACGATAAGCAGCGCAGCACAACGAGCAGGGAATAGAGCTCAGGGAAGCTGGGACGAGCATCTGGTGCCTCAGGCATCAGTCTTTCGACCAATTTGGACATTATTTCCCACGCTAGTAGCTAGCTCAGAGCTCAGCTGGCCTGTTACCCTGTATACAGTCAGGTATGCCAGTATCATGTACCTTATGATGTATGGGGCCAATCACTGCTGTCATATCCTATCACGGTTATCGTTGTAAGCACTGAACTGCCTAGGTAAGTACTAAGCGTAGTCTTGTTATCATTGTCGAGGCTCCGGCTTCAGACCAACCCGACGACGATACGCATTGAGAATATCCACGTCTGGAAAGCTTTCCTTCGGCTCCCACGTCGTCTGACTCTCATCAAATCCCGCCCATTTGACACGATATAGCATCGTCTGTGGCTTGCCTGGATGCGTTCTGGGGTCAGACATATGGTGAGCTAGGATCTTCTCAATCTCCCATCCCTCATCCTCACTCTCACTGATCTCCTCTTCCACATTCATCTTCTGCTGCTTGTTGCCACTGAAACCCACTGTCGGAGGTTTGGTAGTACTGGCCGTACTTCCCTTGGTTGCCAACGCTGACTGGGAGGTGCTACCAGAGGCAACGACGGGCACCACTATCGTTGGACTCCTGCTGGCCTGCTTGTCTCTGTCCAAGCCGACTCGCTTGCGATAATCGGTAATTGTGCTCGGATCAGAGAAGCTCTCTGCCGGCTCCCAGGTCAGATCTTGGTGCCCCTCCCATTTGGTATGGTACAACATGACAGAAGGCTTGCCCGGATGTGTTCTCGGATCGGACAATGTGTGACCAACAATGGCCTCGACGAACCATTCTCCTTCTTCCAAATCAGAGTCATCGTTGCCATTGTCGTCATCGTCGTCGTCGTCGTCGTCGTCTGTCACTCTCTTTTCAGTAGCCACAGGGTTCATGATACTGGTCTTGCCTCCAATCATGGTCTTTCTCATAATCGGTTTCTGGCGGTCGCTCCAGGAGTCATCAGAGTCCGATTGATCCTGTTGAATGGCAGACGACTTCAAGAATGAGGCTAAAGTCACCGGCTCTGTCGACGACTCGGAGGAGCTGCTCTGCGCAGTCGGGTTCAGCATCGACGTCTTGGGCGGCGACTTCAACATGCCTGGCCGTAGTGCCTGAGCGCGATCGTCGTCCAATGCCTCTATTGTCGAGGCCACTAGCTGGTTGTCGAGCTTCGGTATTCCTGAGAGAGATTTTCTGCTCGAGGGGCTCATGGAACGATACTCTCGAGATATGTCGTCCGCAGAATACTCTGATGCCAACTTGACTCGCTTTGGCTGCTGCTCGTGAGAGATGCTCAATCTTTCTATTGAAGGACTCATGCCATCGTGTCTTCCATCATGCGACTCATTTTCTGCACTAGGATCGTACTTCCAGCCAAGAGGCATAAGCTCTTGAGTCACGGGATGCCGTCTGCGCCTTCCACGCTTTTCCGATCGCAGCCCTGTGAAAAATTCCTTGGCTTGTCTCGCCAGGGCAGGACTTTGACTAATTCGCGGCTCTGGGACTTCCTGCGGCACCGATTCTTGCAGAGGAGATAGTGGGAGAAGTTCCCCGGTGATTGGATCACGCTTTCGACGTCTGCGCTTCTGAAGCTCGCTAAATGCCGGCCCAGGAGCACGAGATACAGAGGGAAGTCGTCCTTCTTCCGAACTTTTCATGCCAGTATCGCCACTATCAGGAACTTCCTCGTCACTGAGAGGCAACAGTTCGTTAGTAATGGGGTCACGTTTGCGCCGACGGCGAGGTTTCTGTAGCTGTTGGAACAAGTGCTTGTAAGTAGGGCGGGCTCTACCAGCACCTCCTGCAGATCCATTGTGATCGGCTTCGTCAATGTCAATGTCAATCTCCTCAAATTGGGGGACAACTTTCTGCTTAGTTCTTCCCTTATGGCGCTCCCTCCGCTTTTCCTCCTCTTCGGCGGCAGCAGCAAGCGAAGCATTCAAGACCTCGCGTTCTTCCTCGAACTGCTGATGCTCGTATCGCTCCAGCTCGTAAGGTGAAACGTACTCCAGTATATCATGTAGGCAGACATCGTCAACTTGGATATCTCCGACTTTCAAGCTATAAATCGGCTGCTTTCCAGGTTCTGCAACGCGACCGACTATCCGGGCATTCCTGGGAGCGGTATCCGATGGCTTGAAAGGTAGTGGTCCCTCGCCATAAGTTCTTGGCTTCACAGCCCGTTTGCCTTTGTGGTTATTACTGATTGTACGTTGTGGTGACCGCTCTACCACAGCATCATCGAACACCAGTCGCCTTTGAACCAGGGGTTGCTTGAAGACAGGAGTTTTGTTCCGTGCCTGCGTGACTTCCAGACTAGGCGGCATAGTGCAAATTGCCCGTCCCGGATCAGATGTTGGGACCAGATGTTGCCCGACAGCAAGCCGACAGCGTAGCGTTCTTTCAGCCAGGAGCGCGATATGCGCAGGAGTGGTGTGGATGGCGCTCAATGCATAGCTCGAATGTTCCACAGAAGACGTGACATTTTGTGAATTAGTCAGGCCTTTGGCGTTCGCGAAGTACGCGCCATCGTAATATCAATGGAAGTGGAAGTAGGTGCCCTGAGGATGCGCCACTGCGGCGCCAGTACTAGTAGCGACTAGCGTGTCTGTTACCGTTACTAACTGATATCACTGATTACGTACTGCCGCACCGGCCAGACTGCCGTCTCTGCCGCGGCTGGAGATGGACCTCCTCCTAGCGACAACCACGACATGATGATGTCTCTTTCTTTCTTCCACACCTTCGCATCATGCCGACTCGTGTACTCATAGTCGGCGCTGGCGCCATCGGGGCTTTCTACGGATCTCGACTCGCCACGGCCGCAAACACCGCAGTCTCGGCGCTGTGTCGTTCGAACTTCAAGGCCGTCAAAGCTAATGGGTTCAAAGTGACTTCGCCCAAGTATGGCGAACAGATGTTCAAGCCAGAATACGTTTTCAGCTCCCCGGAAGATGCCAGAAATGCCCACGTGAAGTGGGATTATCTGCTCGTGGCGACCAAAGCTTTGCCTGACGTGAGCGATGACTCTGCTCTATTGGAAGGACTAGTATCGTCCGGAACCAGCATTGTGCTCGTGCAGAACGGCTTAGGCGTAGAAGCGCCTTACCAAAAACGCTTCCCCGACGCTGCAATATTGAGTGCTGTCACGATCGCGAGTGCTGCACAGCCGGAACATGGGGTTGTTGCTCACAATCGCTGGACAAGAATATCGATAGGTCCATATCTGCCCCATCTCGACCAGGGCGGATCAGGACCTCAAGAAGGCGATGGCACTGCTATCGAGAAGAACGGCCAATTAGTGAAAATGCTGCACGAGGCTGGTATATCAGACGCTGAAGAGTACGACCACGCAGGTCTACAATTCGTCCGCTGGCACAAGATCGCCATCAATGCGGCCATGAATCCGTCTTCTGTTCTCTCGGGTGGATGCGGCAACCAGGAAATGTCTCTTGATCCAGAGCTATCTCGCCATCTAACTGGCATCATCAACGAGGTCTTGGACACAGCACCGAAAGTACTGGGCAAGTCTCTACCTTCGAAGCTGGCGACAGCAGAAAAGATTATTGCGTCGACGCAGCGCAATAGTTCCGGAAGCAAGCCGAGTATGTGGGGAGACTGGTCCAAGGGTGCAAAAATGGAGCTGGAAGTGATACTGGGGAATCCGATTCGGATCGCAAGAGAAAAGGGCATTGAAATGCCGAGGTTGCAGACCATGTATGCCTTGATCAAGGCGGCGCAGAACAACAGGGACAAGGCGAAGACGAAGAAGGATAGCAAGTTGTAGACTGTAGCAGCTACAACAACACTACAACAGCAGTCGTCTCGACACGATGCATCGGATGTCTTCCCGCGGTCTGTTAGTTCACGTCCTGGCAGCAAGTAGCGCATGCCACAGGCACAACTGGCCGACCAACAGCGCCGGCCATTTCCTGTCACGCACGGATTGGTGAGTATAATGCTGTACCTCTGTCTTTTTAGCGCCTGCACCATTGAAGACGTCGTTGGCCTTCGATCAACATGTAAGGGAGCGGTGCGGCCACTCGGCGCTCGGGAAGCGGACAGCAGGTCGCCGTGAGACATATGATGCAGTCCGAAGATCAAGCCCACATCACCTGACGATCCTAGACCAGGTTGGGTCCATGCACGTGTGAGCGTGGCCGCGGGTACCATGTAGACATTGGTATAGAAGCATCCAAGGCATCATGTGCCCGCAGCCATTGGCACCTTGAATGCTCACCATACATCCGCACCATGACCACTTCTACACAGGAGAGCAGCGGCGGCGGCAGCAGCAGCAGCAGTAGGTCTAGAGCAGCAGCAGGTCGACTCGGGTGGAACTAAAGGAAGCGCATCGCATCGCGTTCCCATCCTCCCATCCTCCCATCTTCCCACACATCCATCCCATCCTCTCCTCTACCCTCCTCTCCTCTCCTCCTCCCTCTCCCCCCCTTCCCCCTTCTCCCTTTCCCCTTCCAAGTATTCCCCCACTCCCGCTTCGACCTCATCGAGCCCATCGTTCTCTCGCTCACCAACGCTCCAAGCGCTCCTCTCGTCTCCTCCTATTCATAGCTCGCGTCAAATTGCCTGTCACTACCACGTGGCGCTCGAATCAGACAAACAGCCTATACTGGCCAAGAGTCTAGATTGTTTGGGGAGAAGTGCGACTCCCAAGACATCCGAGTGACGAAACAAGGGGGAGGTAGAAACACGACGACGTCAGTCTCAAGCCCGGCAAGCTGCAGCACCACACGCGAACACACAGACACACAGACACAGATCCCGACACATACACACACATACACACACATTCCAGAGTCCCGCCTGCCTTTCCCGCCCGCCCTTTGCCTGTCCTGGCCCTTTCTCTGTTTGCGTAACGGCCGTCTCCTGCCACCCCACTCCAGCCCCAGCCCCATCCCGCAACGCCTTTGTCTCTGGCTGCGAACCCACACCACCGCCCTGCTTGAAACCTCGCACACCGGCGCACTCTATCACCACCCGTCCACCCACCCACCTACCAACCTGCCTACCTGCCTACCTGCCTGGCTGCCTGCCTACCATAACAGCCGGTCTGCCTGCAGCCATCCTATCCCTCGTTGCGCGGCCTCGCTTCCGCGACAGCAACGTTGGCACCCTCGCCTTGTCTCGCCTCGCCTCGCCAGCCGTCACCTGCCTTGTTGCCTACCATTGGGGGCTCCAAGCTGTCGAAGCTTTCCTACCAGACCAAACCGGTTCAACGCACCGCAACGCTCCGCTCCGCTCCGAACACGTTATACTGCTATCGCCGGAGCACGGCACTGCACTGCGACGAGGAGCAGCGCCGCAGTCGAAGTGTCAGACAGCTGTATGCAGTCTGATTGCGCGTGGCAGCAGCAGAGGCACATCACTGTAGCGTGCTAGCGGTAGTGGGATTGAGACAGAGCTCCGTTAGCCTGAACGTCCCGACGCTTGAGGTGCACATTGTGAAGAAGAAGAAGAGAAGAAAGAAGAGAAGAAAACGAAGAAAGACAGTCAGGCAGCTCGTCTTCTCACGCGGTGCTCTTGTGTGCGCCATTGTCGTGACTACCGCTCGTGCCGCCCTCATCCCAATACACCTGGCTCGCTTGGTCACAGTAGCCTCTCAAGATCAATCAGTCGCACCACTCCGCCTCCGCATACACAATACCTGCGATACATTGGCTACCCACGGGTCCTGCTATCCAGGTCCCTGCGTGCCACAGAAGCGGAAAGGACCAGTCAGTAGCAACGACACTGTAATGCCGTCTCTCGGATTCCTCAAGAAAAAGCGCACCAAGGACTCCTCGCAGGGAGCCGAAGGACCAACCTCGCCTACAGTCGGCTCGCCACCGATCACGCCCTCTAGTACCAAGACCAGTGAGACCATATTCACGGATCCCGACACGTTGCAGCGGTCGCAAACACAGCAATCACACAACACTCCGGCTTCCCCGCAAGTGGCCTCTCCCACTCTCACTACTTCGCCTACCACAAGCACCCACCAGACCAACGGACAAGCTATGGGCACCTCCGTACAGCCGAGCATCGCCAATCTGCTGAACCAGCCTGCGCAAGGCACGGCGCACGATTCCGCTTATGCCTCGGCGAACTTTGGGAGTCAGCAAGCTGTGCCTCAAATCAATGCGCCGTCCCAAAAGCCCACTGTAAACCCTTTGCGTGAAACCAAAGGCAAATATACACTTCAGGACTTTGTGATCAATCGAACGCTAGGCACGGGCTCATTTGGGAGAGTACACCTGGTGCAGAGCAAGCACAATCAGCGCTTCTATGCGGTCAAGGTGCTGAAGAAGGCACAAGTTGTCAAAATGAAACAGATTGAGCACACAAATGACGAGCGGAAGATGCTGCAAAGATGTAGACATCCCTTTCTGATTACCCTGTGGGGGACTTGGCAAGACTCGAAGAACCTGTACATGGTCATGGACTTTATTGAAGGCGGTGAGCTTTTCAGCCTGTTACGGAAGTCGCAAGTAAGTCTGATGTTTGTAAAGATTGATGCAGTCGTGCAGAGTTGACATGGACTAGCGCTTCCCGAATCCTGTCGCCAAGTTCTACGCCGCAGAAGTCACACTCGCGCTCGAATACCTCCACAGTATGAACATCATCTATCGCGATCTCAAACCCGAAAACCTGCTTCTGGATCGGCATGGGCATATCAAGATTACTGATTTCGGGTTTGCCAAAGAAGTGCCGGATATCACCTGGACTCTTTGCGGCACTCCAGACTATCTTGCTCCTGAGGTAGTAAGCAGTAAAGGATATAACAAGAGCGTGGACTGGTGGAGTCTGGGCATCCTCATTTTCGAGATGCTGGCAGGATTCACCCCTTTCTGGGATTCTGGATCACCACTGAAGATCTACGAAAACATCCTAAAGGGTCGTGTCAAGTACCCGCCTTATATTCATCCCGATGCGCAGGATCTATTATCGAAGCTCATTACTGCTGACCTGACCAAGCGACTCGGTAATTTGCACGGAGGGAGTAAGGACGTGATGAACCACGCATGGTTTGCCGAGGTGACCTGGGATCGACTGGGGAAGAAGGATATCGACGCACCATACGTGCCACCCATTAGAGGAGGTGCCGGTGATGCCAGTCTCTTCGACAAGTATCCTGAAGAAACAGAAGCATATGGCGCCGCAGGCGACGACCCGTAAGTGGTATACGCAGAAGACGCCTTGACGGTGTACTGACCTTTGTTCTAGATATGGGAAGTCGTTCCCCGACTTCTAAGCGCAGCCTAAGCCCTAACACTAGCTGAACCTAAGCTTTCCGAAGCGATACTATTGCCACTTACAGAACCGCTGAGAGCCCGAGAACACTCCTTGTGAGGCAGATAGTGGGTATATCGAAGAGAGTCAGAGATACCGTGCACGATACAGCTTCTTGCACACATCGTGGTGGACACTGCCATCTGGATAAGGATAATTAGCAACGATTTGAGAGCGTTTGGAAAACTGGCGGGTCTGGGAAGACATGCGAGACACATATCACTATGATGGGCGTGTAGCGGGAAGCGTAACATGGACGATGGATGAACTCTGTATGAGGGATTAGCATGAGCTGTTTATGAACAGTGATCCGAACCCCAAGGAGGCAATTGAACCACCTTAGGCGTTGAAAGCCTCCGAGCAGTGCTTGTCCGCAGGAGATGGAGACGAGAAAAGTAGTTGCATGGACACCTTTTCTAGAGCTCCTCTCCGGCTGCAGGCTACTACATCCTATACGCCAGTGTGAGCAACCAGACAAATTCAATTTTTACTTTTAACAAGCTCATCTTCCATTACCAATCAACTCAATAAATTTATCATCCTCCTCTTTCAATACTCTCTATGCTATGAATGCATAATGGCATCTAGAGAGAGAGAGAGAGAGAGAGAGAGAGAGAGAGAGAGAGAGAGAAACAGAGAGCATAGATAACATGACCTCCTCTACTACACACACAGTCAAGAACAACATTCGACTACACGTACTCGTCATTGTCATATTCATATCAGACCGCCGAGAGAGGTCGGGTAGGTCAGTAAGAGAGTCAAGGTAAAATAAAAAACACACAGGTATGGTAGGTAGTAGTGGTAGTGGTAGAGAAAAATCTCATCAAGTAATACCCTCCTATCATCATCGCTTTACCTATGGATCAAAGTTTGCAAAAAAATAAAAAAATAAAAAATGCTATGCCGTTCCTGGGCCATGGGGGGATATGGTGTAGTGTGAGAGACCAAAAAAGAAACAAAAAAACTAAACTCCTTCAAATGCTCTTTCTTCGTCTCAATGTGTCCCAATGTGTCAATGTGTCAATCAACCACGCCCAAAGGTATATGCCGCAAGGAAAATGATGAATGCTGCTGCCATGCGCTTTCTTCTATCCAGAATGGATCAACCACTCTGTAACCACCTCCGAATCCAAACACCAACCCGCCTAGGCCGGAGCGATGTTCTGGCGCCATCTCTCAATAGAACTGGCTTGAGCTGGGTCTGCATATGTAGGCGCAGCCGTTGCAGGTTGCCCAGGATGTAACATTTGATGTTGTGGAGCATAGCTGTAGCCAGTAGGCATCATACTAACGTGGCCACCTCCATGAAGCGCATAGTACGCAGACGGATTGACCATCTGTGGTTGATACTGCTGCATGTACGGATTGCCCATCATGTTGGGCTGGGCTCCATACGCGCCATAATTCATTCCCGCAGTAGGCGAAGCGAAGTAGCCTTGCCCGGCGAAAATGGGCGTCGTCAGTTGCGAAGGCTGCGGCGTTGCAGCCGCCGAGCCGTTGTGCCAGGAAGCTGGATTGAAAAGGCCATTTGCGGGGCGACTCTGTTGCTGTTCTAAAAGGCCACCATAACTTGTTGATCTGTTCGGAGGGGCATGCGAAGCGGTGGTGTTGACGCCAGAAGTGCTCCTTGCGCCTGCAAAGAGACCATTGGCAGGTCTACTAGACTCATTACCGATAAGACCTCCAGGCTCAGCAGTGTTCCGCGGACGTGAATCGACCAGTGGCTGAGTGAGGTTGTAACTCGAAGCGCGCATATTATTGGCGAGCAAGTCGTGTTTATGCCTGGCTTGGTGCTGCTGGTTGGTATGGAGCAAAGTGCCTTCAGCGGCTTCAATGTCACGTGCTTTGTGAGGCAGCGGACTAACAGGATTCTCTGCAAGCAGGTTGGCCATACTGGACACAGAGCGCAGCATGGAAGGAGGCCTGGGGCCTTGCGATGGATGCGACTCGCCTGACGCTTCCCGCTCTCTTCGGAGACGTGCAGCCCGCTGCCCGAGAGTCTCTTCTTCCTCACCGCGCTTCAGAGATGCAGCTTCTTTCAATGTCGATCGATCCGAAGCAGTGGCATCAGGATTGGTCACTTGCAGCCCACCGAATTGTCCCAGTAACTCGTCAGTGAAACTGCTATCCGGTGGTTGGCCATCTTTGTGGACGTCGGAAATTGCGCCCCCGAGCTTCATTCTCATGCCTCGCTGTCGCAAAGTCTCGCCTTCATGTTCGTCGTCCTCGACAGGCATATCGGGCTGGCCTGCAAGGTGCAGCTGTGACATTGTATGGCCTCTGTTGAGGGGCCGAGCAGATGGGTTCAATCGCGCCCTCCGATGCCCGAGAGGCTCGTTCTCCTCCAACTCGCGCCTGTCCATCAGGCCAAGCGGTCGATTCCAGTCACGCTCGTCTCCCATCTTACGATGCCCGTTGCCTTGCTTCGAAGGATAGAGCACACCGAGTGGTACGTCATCTCGGCCATCATCGCTATTGTCATCCGGGATCCCCTGATGGTCCTCCCAAGCCAGCGCAATCTTCTTCTTCTGCCGCTTCTTCGCTTCGATGGCTTCAACTGCATCCAGCTGTAGCAGAGTACTATGCATGCCATTCGGAAATGCGGTCGCGGCGGTCTTGTTTCGCGACTTGAGCTGTGCCTTGCGCACCTGGAGCTCGGCCAGAAGTGTGGAGGGCTGCGCGAAGACAGGGTCATCGTGGTCCCAGTCCTCACGTTCCTGCTCGTCCCGGAAGTCCTGATCAACCTGCTCTCCCTCGGCAAGGACTCTTTCCGGTTGTTCAGTTGCGCTAGATTTCCGCTGGTCCAGTTGATCCACAGCGCTAGGATCCGAATTCACAGCCTGCACTACCAGGCCAGATTGCCGTCTCGTCATATCATTGATCTGATCTCCTGATGTCCTCACGCCACGATCCACGGTCAAGTCGTCGCCAGCACTCATTTGTCCCAGACTCATCTGACTGCGTCTCTTTCGTAGCTTGTTGCCAGACCCGTTCATGTCGAGCATACTGCCAGGCCGCGTCTGTTCCTGCGCACCGGTCTCACCATCCAATGTCGTGCTGTTTCTTCGGAAGAAATTGCCAATGCTGCTACTGCGTTTCTTCTTTAACGTTGCTTTGGGTGCTTCTTCCTTCCTCTGATCCAATGTAGTCGATGTGCTCTTTCGATTGTGCATCGGCTGCTCTGGAGCATATACACTTTTTCGTACGTCTCCCGCATAAGGATGATCCGTGAAAGCAGTTACCGGTGCATTGGCCGAAGACTGGAGAATGGCGTCCAGTGTTGCAACGGCCGATCCACCCTGGACTCGCACCTCGTGCTCAACAGGCTGTTGTTGGAAGTACATGGATGCACGCAATTGTGGTGGAAGACTCGGCGGATTGGCCATACTCATCCTTTGATTGAGCATGCCTCGAGGAAGCTGTTCCTCGTCTGTACTTGCCACTGATCCCGATCGGCCTCTCCCACTCGCTGCCTTCTCCTTGTCCTCCTCACCAAAGTGTATTGGCGGTATCCAGGGCGCTGATTCTCGATTCTCGCGCGGCATGGCTTGTAGCATCTCGGATCGTCTCTGGGCCTGGACGTGTGCGGGCGGCAGTCTCGAGAGCCTTTTCGGCAGATTCAGCATTCGCGGCACTGGTGCAGGGTAGTAGACCATATCTTCGCCCGGCGGCGGTGCTCCCAAGGCCATGGACAGAGGCCGCCCAGGAGAAAATGAACGTTCAGACGAAATCGGTCTACTCTGCGGCTGTGGCTGCATCATCGATGCCATATCCCCAAGCGTGCCTGACGACGTCCTTGCAGACACTCTCCGAATCTCCTGACCATCGTGGTCCACTTCAATATACTCTTCAGTGTCAGGGCTGTAGTGCACGCCATCAAAGTCCTGGAAGGCGGCCTGGGCCTCCTGGAAGGTGTCGGTGGAGGGCCGTCGCTCTCGTGGATCGTGATCCATGATGAGGTCCTCTTCGATGGGAGGCGTCGGTGGTATGGTAGCGAGAGATTCTTCGATCTGGGCAGCAATGTGGTCGTAACGGCGGACAAAGGAGGAGTGCGATGCCTGTCGCGACAGTAGTGATGATGATATGGCGGGGTCCTGTGAATAGAGTGACGCACTACTGGGAGCCGATGGGCTGTCCAACGGTCGTCCTTCGTGTCTACGAACACATTCATGCAAGGTCAGCACATCCTTCACCACGGCGTATGAGACATTCCGAGCAGACTCACAGCGGCTCCACCATCTGGCCCAGGCGCGATGTCTTGGACCCCGAGGCTGCGCGGTGGATCGAGGGCTGAGTCCAGCTCGAGCCCGAGCGCACACTCCCGATCGGAGATATAATACCCCCAATGGATCCGGGCGAGGTGATGTTGTTGTTATTGTTGTTGATGATGCTGTTGGCGGTGGTAGCGGCGGTGTAATTGTTGTTATGATGCTGGCCTCCCCAGCGCGCATCTACGACGCTGCTGGCATAGGAATTGGCACGACTAGTCGTCGTGCTGCGGCCACTGGCACTGTTGATCCTCCAGGGCGCCGAGGGCGGCAGAAACTCTCCCTGATGGCTGCTCTGGATTGAGTTCTGGTGATGAAGTGAGTTTTGCCGACTGCTGCGACTGCGACTGGCACTGCGCTCTCGCAACCTCTTGATCTCTTCGCCGATGTCACTCCCGCCAGCCGACAGCTCCTCCGCGCTGCGTTCGAGGCGCTCGATTGCCACCGCCCCCTGCGCCAGATCCGGCAGCGGACTGCGCAGCTGCGCATTGGACACTCGGCGCTTGATGGGGCTCTCCATCATCGCAGGGACACCACCTTATCTCGCGTGCGGTGACATTTCTCCGTCTCTCTCTGGTCCCCCGTAGAATACAGTGTACAGATAGGTACGGGAGGATGCAAGAGGGAGAGGTACATGTACATGTAGTGGTCGGTGGTGAGAAGAGAGTCCAAGAGAGGCTGACAGGATGACACGCGAGCCTTCGCTTCCACTGCAGTAGTGCTGCAGCTGGCACTGGCTGTGACTCTCCATCTGGCTTCAACTTCCCTGCTGTCAATAATCACCAACATGCCCTCATCGCCCAATCTGGAAATAGCGTCGTGCGCAACAAGCACTTGGCCGCGGACGAAAGGTGGCGATTGGCGAAGGCTGAGTGCATATCTTTACATCAAGAAGTCTTGTACCGTCAATATTGTTATCGTGGGCAACCTTTAGCGGTAGTACTGTACCTAAGTACAGTGGTACTGACTGGTACATCACTTCTGCATATTACAATCTATCTGATGATATTTCGTTCCAGGTTCTTCCCCCCCCCCTCCCACGCATTACCTAGGACTACATGTACTTCAATGTGATTGTGACCACCTTACCTAGTATTATGCACCTCTGGGAAATGAAGGGTGCCATCCAGTACTACCTTGCCAGCCCACCGCCGCCTAAAGAACCGAATGCCTGCCGTGCGCATACAAATCCAAGCACACCAAGACCTGGTTGGCATCACTCACATCCATCGCACAGACACACACAGCAGCTTTTACCGGGTCAAGCTTTCTGCGCTCGGCAATCATCATGGGTTAAAGGGTAAATTGTAAATCAAGGTACACCGGGTCCGGGCGGTCCGGACGTAGTTGATTCACGGGGAAAACCCCTTCAGGCTTAGCGCCTTCCGCTTCGAGATGCTGGCCTCTTGGCCAGAACGATATCTTCAGATTCTTCACTCTTCAGCTCCCGAGTCCCAACCCTCTCTTCCTCTGTCCATCATTCGTATTCCTCCTTCAATCTCACGGCCTCTTTGCTCCCGTAACTCCCCCTTTCGATATTCTGATCTAGCAACGATTAGCCGAAGAAGTTCGCAATCACTGGAATGGTTCTCGTAAAAGTCTGGAGTGCCTGATTGTATTCTTCCGCAAGATGTCCAGGATAATCCCCCATCGAGCAACACGAACCATTCATCTCTACAACCACTTCCAGGAACCCAACTTCTTGTGTGAAGGAAGTTCCCAGCTGAGTCCAGTCGTTTTACAGACGTGCGTGTCCTTGCTGCCTACACGTACTACTCCGATCACCCCGGTACGATACGATGCGTCGGGATCTCACACTTTTGAACGCGAACTATATGCGGGCACAGAAGATGGATATGAAATATTGATGACATATCGATATCAAAGCCTCGATGTCTGTGGATCTTGCGAGCGTCTTAAGGTCTGAAGCCAATGGGAGTGTTCGGGCCTTGGTGTTCTCAGCGTTCGCGGAAGATCAGGCAGCTCTCTGAAAACGGGGTCCGTTGTGCGAATACAGCCGTATTGTTATCAGCCTGGAAAGATCTGTGAGCGATGTAATACAAGCCAGCGGCATGGATGTGAAGATCTAGATGTATGCTTGCCCGACGATGTTCTGGTGCGTGTCGCAAATGATATTTAGCCGACAGACATCGCTGTGGTCAATGGCAGCAAGTCTCGCAATATCGATGTAGAGGACGCCTTGGACTCGTGCTTTGAGGCTGTCGCAATAACGCGGGGCCAGACCTACGATGATTCTGTCTGCGACTCTTTTTCTACGATTGCGCGCTAATTGAAGTAGGAAGTCGCGCGCATCCTCTTCATCTATTAGGACGCTTATGAGCTCAGTGAGCGCTTGATGACGATCAGAATGCACTGGATAGGCAACCTCGTCCAATCTCTCTCCAAGCTCTAACCAGTATAACGGCCTGTATTGTAGCAAGCTGCGCCAGAAAAGACTCCCGTATCGGTAGCGCAGGACAATCACCTGGCCAGTCGAGACACTCCCCCTCCGTCCAGTCCCCGAGCAAAGAAAGACTCGCTGATGTGCATTATCGCCAATGAGACTTCTCACACGAAATTCAAGCGCCCATCGAAATCCTTTCACGGTCGAGTTTTTGCAAGATGTCGATTTCGTCCTTCAAATCATGCGTAACAACTTTTCTGTGCTTGCTGATAATGTTCTTGGGTATCCGGACGGGTCTATAGCTCGCCGAAAACGAAAGTTGCCCAGAAGACGTGAGAATGTCCGCCGAGAAGAACACTGACTGCCCTGTCGTAATATACCTGAACAAAAGAGTAGTATATTTCTGATATCCGATCAGACCCTTTGGCAAGTAGCCAAGAACACTGTGTTGGGACTGTTTTGACGCTCCCGTAGGGAGAGGGCAGGGGGTAGGCGCCGCATCTCACCCAATCGGAGCTCGAGCCGGAACGATACCTTGTGCGGGAGGATCGGAGACTTCAGCATATACTCCGACACTCGCTGGTTCGGACGTTACGTTAGGCCGATTGTGAGATCTTTTACCATATTCTACTATACGACTACTCCAATAACAATGGCTGGCTATACTCTCTCGGATGCTGACCTTCCGCCTGCAGGAAACGAGATCACCACATCTACAACACGTCGACGCAGGAGAGTCTCGGACGACGATGGTGCTCCTACGCAGAAACAGAAGCGCAAATGTCGACAACCCTGATGCTCACCAGATCAGCTGTTAAAAGGCTACCCTGTGCCGGTCGGTATAGGCACGCGTGCCCTTTTGATATTCAGGTATCATTGTTGTTCGGTATTCTCTGAAAAAGGAGAAGAAATGATAATCATATTGCCGCCCTTGCCGGCACGCTCACTGCAAGGAGAACATAGACAAGCAGATTTGCTATAGAAGCCTTTTTCCTATACCGAAGACAAGTCGATCGAAAGGAGGTACGACAGTATAATATTCGAAAAGATCAAAGCCAAAAAGTGTAGATCGCAGCATTGCATCACCCATATGTATATACACAGAACACTATCATTACCACCACCCCGACCTCCTCCACTTCGATTTATACAGCCTTGTCGAAAAGGTCTTTCGTTCTCTATGATACTGCCGAGCAAGATAATAAGTATCCACTTTGTCACGTCAACGCGGAATCAATAGTATACCCGTTCCCTCGTACCGAACAAACCCGAAAGTTGACAAACACGACGTATACTAGAATTTGATCAACAAGTGCAAACTTACTTTTCCTCTTCGAGCCTTGCTCTTGAGCTAGAATATATACAAGAGTCTATATACCTCTCCTTCCCTACCTCCCTTCCTCCTATTCTTCCTCTTTTGTAACGATATAGGCGAGCTATATATTATCTGATCTCCTACCTATATACTTTCGTATTTGCCTCCCTCCCTCCCTCTCCTCCTCCTTATAGATAGGTACATCTAGATACTCACATTTCACCCTCTAATCTAACAGTCAAAAAAAACTTCCTTCCAACATCTGCTTACACCGCTGTTATTATCTACCTCCCTACCTACCTACCTATTTACCTGTACCTAAAACCTCGATCGTCCCGTATCGTAGCGCAGCGTAGCGTAGCGTAACCGTAGCGTAACCGTAGCGTTATCGTATTCTAGCGCATCAAGATCTGCAACTAGTCGTCGATAATTGTACGGAGATTAAAGTTGAGCGAAAAGAAAAAAGGTAGGGTAGATAGATGGATACTATCGGAATACCCCGTGTGTATAGTCCGTCCCGGAATCGCAAACCCTCTCTCTCTCCCTCTAGGAGGTAGGAGGTAATTCTTGCTTGACTAGTTAGTTGTATTTCTATAGCAACACGATGTTACACGCGCTTCTTTTTTCTTTTTCCCTTTTTTTGTTTCGCTTAGGTAAAGGTAAAAGTAAAGGTAAAGGTAAGGTAGTATTCTCCTTTTTTTTTCTTCTTTTTCTTTAGTATAGCCTGCAAGGTATCCCCCGAATTAACAGTACGTATATAGAATTTCTCCTCGTCGTCGTCGTCGTCGTCAATAACGAAAACAAAAAAAACCCCCCCAAAAAAGTTTGCTACACTGTAGAGAGAGAGAGAGAGAGAGAGAGAGAGAGAGAGAGAGGA